GACCTCCCCCCCTTCCTCCGCCCCCGCCTCCACGCGCAAAGCCCGCAAAGCCCTCAGGGAACCCGCCCATGCCCCCCGTGCCGCCGGGGCCCTCGGGCGGGGCCTCTCCGCCACCCATCTTCAAGCCATCCTCTCCGTACATGTCATATATCTGTTTGGGTGAGGGAGATGACCCGGGAGACGAACGAGAGATTGCTGCTTCTTGAGAGGACCGTAGGCACGCGAGAACGTAAGGGAGCTTGATCAAAACACACCTATTCCTACTCCTTACCCACTCCCCCTTCCTCCTTTCCCTCCGGGCCTTGTGTGTGCCCCAAGGTGGGGAGTGAGGATGATGACAACAGTAAGTATGTACAGTCGAGAAAAGAACTAACATACATTCATTCATAGGAGGGGATGGCGAAGTATTGCATGAGAGCGAGGCCGTGATGGTCAAGGAAAGAGAGGTTCCGAAGAGAAGCCAATGCCTTATCCCTCATTCTACGTGGGCTAGGACACTTTCTAATAGACAGACGTAAATATTTGAATATTTAAATGTTTGAATCTTCAAATTTGGGACAAGGAAAAAAGGAAAGTAGGCGCACGTCTGTCCAACTTTTCCCTCCGAGCGGTGGTCGTGCGAGCGGAGAGAGGGAAGGGAAAGCAGCGCGAGCCGTTGATGGCCTTTGACGACGCATTGCTTCCCAGAGAAACACACATGGACAAAAGAGGAGCACATGGAGGAGATGATAACCCGGGAGTCATGCGCTCGGATTTTCCCGCGCGACTTTTTGTTCCTCGTGCTGCCCAAGGGCAACATGCGCACCACTCCCCTCTTCTTTTTCGCCTTTCACATTCTTTACCCTACTCCTGTATTCCCCATCAACCCTCCTGCGTGTTGCGGTGTCTTTGATGCAATTGCTTTGGGTGGTAGTGACCTCATTTGCTAGAAACCCTTCCGCCAAACCCTCGTTGGAAGTCGCTCATGACCTCCTCTTAGCATCAACACGTCACTTCCTTCACTTCCCTCTCCGCTCCTTCTCCCTCTACTCCATCCTCCATTCCCTCCCTCGATTTCCTTCCTCCCTTCTTCTCCCTCCCTTTTCCACTTTTTCCAACTTTTCAAACCACCTCCTTTCTTTCCCCTCTTCAAGCATGCTCTGCCTTCCTTTCGGGGTACGTAGATTCCTCTTTTCTTGGCAGGGCCAAAATCATCGCTGGGTTTCCCGCCTTTTCTCGCCTTTTTCGTGGACTCAAGGTGCGAAGCCACCATCGCGAGGAAGCTGTCCCAAAACCTTCTGTCACCCTCCTCCTCTTCCGCACCCTTTGGACAGCAGGCCACGATACAAAGCTTAAATTGTTGAGACTGGCATGCCCAGGAGTTACTGTCTAAATTCCTGTCTATTGATTCT